AAAACACTCTACACCTCATATATACGACATTTTGTTAGTAAAAGTAGAAGAGTTGCATGTCCATTGTATATGACATTTCGAATAATTTGTTCTACACTATGAACAACTTATACAAGTCATTTGAGGACTCATAAAAATATACTTAAAGAAGAATACATGTCACTTCCTCAAACTAGCAATGCCATTTCACTTTGAAAAGGAGTTCTGAAAGAAAATCTTCAATTAGTTTTCTTATTCCTAATTATATCAATGACTTCATCTGGGAAGAAGATAAGATAATTTGGTTGGAAGAAATTAAGCGAGTAATAGGCCAATTTGGCAGCTTTTTGTTCAAATTCTTGGTATTTTTAAGATAATATTAGTGCAACATAGTAATGGTACTGTGAAAGGTCAATAAGTTTTTATCTAATAAAATTTAATAATGAAAAATATTATCTGATAATCCTTGAAGATCTGAGTTTCATTTGATCTCTACAGAAATGGAAAAGAGTTTCCATTATCTATATAGAAATTAGTGATGTACTTTATTTAATGACAATAATAGATAAAAAGTATAAAGATGAAAAAATTTACATGCATACTCATTTGTATATTAGTCATTGCAAGTATTATAGGGAGAAGTGAAAGATGGTGTCACCTAAAGTAATCGACTACGGCATTACTGGTTTTATAACTAAAATATTACTTTAAGGAACAAAAAGTACTACGTATGAATGGTTAAAGAATTCGTACTTTTAGCCTACTAAGATCACGAACAATTTTGAATATGAGTGTCATGTGCTCCTTGTCTTTAAGAAGATTATGTCTCAATGTTGGTCATGGTAGAAATTCCCGGATTAAGTTCACAAAAACATTTGAAATTTACAAGCACGTATAGTAATGATTTAACAAAAAAAAAAAAAACTTTGTTAGTTTATAATTAAGCAACAACACATATTCGTTATGAAGGTGGAGCAGAGAAGATAAAGTAAACGAAACTTCTGAAAGCATACGATACGAGGGGGGTATTGCAGTTAAGGGGGCAGCGCCTCTTGTAGGATGCCCACGATGGGGATCAACCTACCAATCAGCTCGAGGGGCACCCGTGGGGATTCGGGGGCAACGCCCTCAACGGGAATCGATCGGAATATTTTAGTTATGTATGGAATGGAATATTTTCTAATGTTTATGAATTAAATTATTGAATTAAATTATTAGTAAGTGAAATTATATTTATAGTTTGTATAAAATGTAAATAAGTAGAATTTTTTGGCAAAAAAATAAGAAATTAAAAAAAAAAAAAAAAGAGGAAACTTTGTGCGGAGACACGATCGTCCACGTCTCTGCACATTGCGAACCGTGTCTCCGCACACTCCCACTGTATTTTTATTTTTATGTTTATTTATTATTATTATTTTTCATTTTTTGCATTCATTAGCTCTTCCCTCTTCTTTTTCTGTTAAAAATAACACATTCAATTTATTAGTTTTTTCTTCTTACTTTATATGTTGTCCGTCCATTTTGACACCTCAGGATTCATCACCAAAAAATTTAAAGGTTCATGACCCAAGGTCCTAACTGGAGTTTTCACATTGTATAATATATATACGATCCTTGTTTGGTGGGATTAAAATCAGATTTTCTCCAAAACAAAATACATGCATTCTTCTTGTTTATAATTTAGTAGTTGACCTCCTGTTTGGTGAGAACTAAAATCAGATTTTTTGTAAATTTTGATAAAATTTGATGAATGTGTTGTTAAAAATTGTGGATCCCATAAAATTAAAATGTAATTATTGAATTTGATTTAGATTAATATCTTGATTTTAATTCGTACCAATCATGCACTAAATATTTTTTTATTGATTAAAATTGTAAAATAATTACTTATTTAAAAAATAAATTTGTTCTGCAAAACAAATATAGTCGATAAGGCTGTCTATAGATTGATTTTTAATTCGAATCCGATCAAATAAATAGGACATGGATTAGAGATCTCAGTCCGATAAACCGATCAAAATTCGAATCCGATAATTTGTTAACTAAATGGATCAAATATGGATATATATCAATTCGATCCGATTTGTTATAAATAATTGAGTCGGTAAAATATTTTTATGGCATATTATTTGTGTTTTAAATAAATAAATGAGAAAATAAATAAATTTATAATAAAAAAGTCATCAAATTCAAAAAATAAAAAAGTTGAAATTTTCATAATTATTAAATCCATTATTGAAAAAATTGAAAAAAAAATAGATAAAAAGTTGATTCCAACATTATTTTTTTCCAAATTTTTTAATTTCGGATCGGATATCCGATAACATACCAAAACGACTATGAATTTAATAATTAAATATCTATTGAATTATCGGATCGAATTTAATCGGATAATTACTATTATCGGATCAGATCACAAATTAGGCCCATATCGAGCGATTTACAAAGCTACTCCATACATGGGGAAAAATGATGTAAGTACAGAATTTTTTTTACCGAATTTGTACAGATTTTTGAATTCCTCTCACATGAGGAGGTGGAGCCCACATGAATTAAATATTGTTAAAAACAATGGGACCCATGTGTTGTGTGTATTCGGTACAAATTCTGTAAAAAAAATTCTGTACCTATAGAGTGATTGATACATGGGTTCTCGTCAGTCGTCACTGCACAAATGGCAAATGCACACAAATAGTAACCGCCTTTACATTCAAATACTCCCTCCGTCCCATATATATAGGCTGAGTTTCCTTATTTTCTTGTCCCAAATATATAGGCTTGTTTCTTAATTGGGAATGTTATGTTTTGTTCTTTTACTAATTTACCCTTATTTAATTTGCCTAATTACTAATTCCAACAATAATTTACTTCTAGTTGTTGAAAATTAAATAGGGATAAACTTTGAAAGTTCTTGATAAAAATTGCTTTTTCAATAACATTAAATAAGATTTCTTAATCCGTGTGAAAAATGAAACAAGCCTGTGTATATATGGGACGGAGGGAGTATATATTATCACAAATCAATTTGGGTTTATCAAGAATTGCTGTCAAATTCAAGTCATGAATGAAGAGAATGAGATTTTCGGTTTCTGGGCATTACCAGAGGGATGTATATCTGATATAATTTCATTTACTTCCCCAAAAGATGCATGTATAGTATCTGCTGTTTCTTTGGGATTCAAATCTGCTGCTGAATCTGATACGGTGTGGGAGCGGTTTCTTCCGCCAGATTATCGAGATATTATTGCGAAATCTGTGTATCCGGTGATTTATTGTTCCAAAAAGGAACTTTATTTCCATCTTTGTGATTCCCCTCTCATCCTTGACGGTGGAAAACTGGTAATTCATTCATAATTGAACTTTGTTTTTAGATTTTAGACGTTTTTGGAGCCATAAATGATCACGTGTTTCTTTGTTTGCTGTAATTGAATTTTCTTTTACTTTGAACTTGTTAATTTATGCGTGAAATCAGCATGTTAGGGTCTAAGGAGAGGGTATTGTAATTTTATCTTTTGTCCTGATGTATGACATAGTAAATATGATTACACCCTGTTCTGCCCAACCCAGTAGATTTTTGATAATAGCTATTCTGTGCACTTCTGTTGTGGGCCATGGAGTTATAATTCAAGGCGTTGGTTTTCTGGAAACGAACGGATTGGAATTTCTGCTTGTATATGATGAATATTTCATTGTGTTTGCAGTAGTTTGTGTATTATTTCTTGTCCTCCTAATCAAGCATCTTCTTTGATAAGTGTATTCTAGTTTGTCCGGTTTCACTACTTACCAAAAGAGAAGCCAGCCAGCAAATATCCTTCCCCTTCTTTTTTCCTACATACACAATCTTATGATCTCCGACGATCAAATTTCCACATAAAAGGTACGTTGCATGCACATCGAACTTTGGAATTGTGCTCATATTTGAACTTAAAGAAATGGGTGGGCATCAATTTTCTTTCCAAGTAAAAACTAAGGTTCAGAATCAAACATTTGTTTTTAAACACTTAATATAATGGTATTGATTGATCTTTGTTCTGTAGAGTTTGTTGCATAATCAGCAAATTGAAGTCACGAACTCGAACCCAGTTGAGTGGTCTGGACTGAGTTCAAGTTGGGTAAAAAGAAATGAACTCATGACTAGTCAAGTGTTATTGACTGGGTTAGAGTTAGTTATTTCTGTGGACTTGCTCGACTCAGATCCAAATGGAAACTGTTATTTTATTTGATTGTGTTTCTTTTCATAGTTATTGGAGTTAAGTTGGAAAATTTCCATTCCGTTTTTAATAGCGATTTTAAGTATAAATAGAAGTAGAATGTTCGAAATATGTAGATAGTTGAATTGATTATTATTACATTTGATTGATTGAATTTCCACCAATTCTTGTTTCTCATTTCTTCTTGTTCCGTCTCCTTTTTGTTTCCCCTTCTGCATCTATGTGTCTCTTAATGTTAAATTTTGAACAGAGTTTCAGATTGAGTAAGCCAAGTGGCAAGAAGTGTTACATGTTGTGTGCAAGGGAACTTTACATTGCATGGGGAGATAATCCAATGTACTGGAATTGGAAGACTCTTAGAGAATCAAGGTATATATCTCGCACTTTATTTATTATCCATCTTATATGTAGCCTTTAAGCACATGCACATATTGGTTGAGTAGGAAAACAATTTTGTGTGAAAATTGATTGGGGGCAAGAAATTAGTATTTGTGATTTAAAAGTAGGTTTTAAGGATTTGGGATTATCATTGCAATTAATTCTTTAGTTTCTCTTTCGTTTCTTTTTATCTCAATTGAATGGAGGGTAAAATCGTCAAAATATGATTGAAAAAGACCTTCGACACACGAAATATTGTAGGTAAGGGCATAAATGCTAAGAAATGAAAGGTATGGACGGTTTCCACAGTGCATGTGGTAGGGACGTTTTGTGTCAATTAGCCCAACTATATATTATCAAGAATGACTCTGGGTTTATCCAAAATTTCTCTCAAATTCAAGCCATGAATGAAGAGAATGAGATTTTGGGTTTCTGCGCATTATCGGAAGGATGTATATCATATATAATTTCATTTACTTCCTCGAAAGCTGCATGTATAGCATCTGCTGTTTCTTTGGCATTCAAATCTGCTGCTGAATCTAATACAGTGTGGAAGCGGTTTCTTCCGCCGGATTATCAAGATATTATTGCAAAATCGGTTTCTCCGGTGATTTATTGTTCCAAAAAGGAACTTTATTTTCATCTTTGTGATTCTCCTCTCCTCCGTGACGACGGCAAACTGGTAATTCATTCATAATTAAATTTGTTTTTAGCTTTTAGACATTTTTGGGAGCCATACATGATCATTTGTTTCTCTGTTTATGATATGGTTTCCAACCTGAATCCCGGAAGTGTAAGCTTCCTTGGGTCCTCCAACCCATCGGCTAGTTTTGGGTCTGGCTCTAGAGTAGGCATCCTGTCTTGTGGTCTCGATTATCACTTAGGGTGTATAGGCTTGGAAGCGTGGTGATTTTTCATGGGGTGTATGGACACTTGAATCACTAATCAGAAGTGTAAGCTTCCTTTGTGTGGTTTATATTCTCCAACCCATTAGCTAGCTTTTGGGGTCTGACTCTCCCAATTGAGCGTGACAGTTTACTGTAATTGGATTTTCTTTTACTTAGAACTTGTTAATTTATGGTTGAAATCAGTATGTTAGGGTTTAAGGAGAGGGTATTGGAATTTTATCTTTTGTCCTGATGTATGACATGGTAAAAATGATTACACCCTGCTCTGCCCAGCCCAGTAGATTTTTGTAATTAACTTTTTGCCGCATCAGTTTATGGTGTAGAAATCTGTTGTAGCCCATGGAGTTATAAGTCTAGGGTGCTTTGCTTGAAAGGAATTCTTCGTGTCTGTGATGAATTACTTGTTGTGTTTGCAGTAGCTTGTGTATTATCCCTGTCCTCATAACCAAACATCTTCTTTGCTAAGTACAAAAGAGAAGCTGGCCAGCCAAACATCCTTTTTCCATTCTTTCACTCCTACATATGCAATCCAATGATCTCCATTTTCCGTTCCCACTGACATGATCAAATTTCCAGAGAAACATCGAACTTTAGACGTGCTCATATTTGAACTTAAATATACGAGAGGACATCAATTCTCTTTCCAAGTAACAAATAAGGTTCAAAATTAAACATTTTGTTTTTAAACACTTATAATATATTGGCAGAGATTGATCTTTGTTTTATAGAGCTTGTTGCACAATCAGCAAATTGAAATCATGAACTCGACCTCAGTTGAGTGGTCTGGACCGAGTTTGAGTTCGGAAAAAAGAAATAAACTCATGACTGGTCAATTTTTATTGACTGAGGTAGACTTAGGTATTCGCTGGACGTGCTCAACACAAATCCAAATGGAAACTGTTCATTTATTTGATTGTGTTTCTTTTCATAGTTATTATTGGAGTGGAGTTGGAAAATTTTCTTTCCGTTTTAATAGAGGTTTCGAATATGAATAGAAGTAGAAAGTTTGAAATACGTAGGTAGGTGAATTGATTATTGTTACATTTGATTGATTGAATTTTCACCAATTCTCTTCTAGTTCCCTCTCCTTTCTCTCTCCCTTCTGCATCTACATTAACGAAAATTTTTGAGCAGTCTCAGATTGAGCAAGCCAAGTGGAAAGAAGTGTTATATGTTGCGAACGAGAGAACTTTACATTGCATGGGGAGATAATCCAATGTACTGGAATTGGAAGACTCAGAGAGAATCAAGGTTTATATCTCGCACTTTATTTATTATTTATCTCATATATTACATCTTTAAGCACTTGAACATACTGGTTGAGGAGTAGGAAAACAATTTTGTGTGAAAATTAAATATTGTTATAGTTACTTGGTGATTTCGACTTTGCACTAAAAATTGCATCGTCGTCTGATTGTAGAACATTGACAATTGAGTTATGGTTGTTTAATATAGGCTATCTATATTATCTATTATGGATTTGTTACTTAAAAATACTTTGCAGCAATGTCATTACATAGACCTTGTTGTGTCGGTTTGCTGAGGTAGCAGAACTATTGAGTGTTTGCTGGCTTGAAATTTGTGGGAAAATGCAAACTTGAATGCCGTCTTTGAAGACTAATTATGCAGCATATCTCGTATTCAAAACCCATCAGAATTCTTATGGGCTCGACTCCTCTTCCAAGGCGTCTGTCAAACTTGTTCAACAAAGCATAGCCGAGATTGAAGGCAAGAACAACATAGTATATCTAAAACAACCAACTCGTAGACATGGAAGGTTGAGACAATTGGGTGTAAAAAATATTGATGGTTGGCTCGCGAAAGAAAGAAGGGATGGGTGGATGGAGATTGAATTGGGAGAATATTTCAATGATAAAGGAGATGAAGGTGATATTCAGATGCAACTCCTGGAGATCGAGAAGCTTCACTGGAAGGGTGGCCTTATTATTGAAGGTATTGAGCTTCGCCCCAAGGAGGTATAGAACGAGGAGATCGAGTCTCACCATTACTCTGTTATGAAAAATTTACACGTTCCTCGTATTTGATGAGAAAATGAACCAATTTACCAATTTAAAGTGGCTTGTTCTATAAAATTAAATAAGGGTTTGTTTAAGAAAAAATTTGATAACGGTTTTAGTACATTTGTATAAAAGTGGACGAAATGTAGGTTGAGAAGTTGAATAAAAATTGTGTGTCACATGAAATGTGTGGTTAAAATTAATTGTCTACTTGGAATTCAACTTTTTAAGCTACTGTTCTCTCTTAGTGTTTGTGTTCTAGCAGTTAGATACTATTTACTCATGGAGTAAGTTTACTTTTATTCGCGATATTTGAAATAAAATATTGATTTTTTTATTTTTTTAATTTTTGGATATGTTGATTGTGTTATTGTAAGCTTACATTTGTCCCTTGATTGCTAAGCACCGAAAGATTCAATTTATAATTCATTCTAAAATTTATGGTCCACTATTGGTAAGTACAGAAGAAAGTTATATTTGATAAGATCGTTTTAGTTTTATTATAATTTATCTAAACTTTTGTAATGCTGAGAGTATATTTTGAATCGATTATGAAGATGCACACGCTTATCTTGATGCTTTTTCTAATTGTCTCGTTATATATTGGAATCGAAGGTTGAGAAGAAAATGAGCCAAAATGTCCCCGGAATTGAAAGCAACATGAAATGTAATGGCACGCCCTAAGAAGAGGCAGTCAATAAGTTTTTTGAAATGCTACAGATTCATGGAAGGACTTTAATGAAGATTCTCTCAAACCGACTTCCTCTTCAAGGGAAAATTTAATGAGAATTTTCAATCTCAAAGGTAGTAGTATAGACGTCACTTATAAAAACAATGAATATAAGTACACTGAATCACTAATGATGTGTTTGATTGGCATAGAAAATATCTAAAATGTTTTTCTTGTTTTGAAGAAAAATGACTTGTCAGACTCGGATCAATCTTTATGTTTCTGAATGGACTTCCTTGATTGTATTGTGTCTATGTAAACTTCTTTTTATCGATCTTGATTTGCGTAGCTCTGAACTCCAGAGATCAGCAAATGCTAGCGCATAGCACGATGCTAGGATTTGATTTTGCTTCCCACCCTCCAAAAAAAATATTTTCCTCAAAAACAAAGAAAATTAGACATTTTCAAATGTTGGAAAATATTTTCTATGAAAAAAAATGGCAATCAAACGCTCAAAAAATTGAAATTTGGGTGGAAAAGATCATTTTCCATGAAAAAATTTCTAATCAAACACACCCTAAAAGTTCTAAAAAGCTCACATCGTTGCTTTATGAATCCCAATTGAGGTTTAAATGTATACTGGGGTCAAGTTTGTTGCAAATTGATGTTAGTACACGACCTTTAATGTGTTTATTATTTGACTTTATTTGTATCCCCGTAAATAGTATAAAACCTTCGAGTAATTAGACAGTCGAGCTCCAATATTCGTAATTCACCAAGATTCAATATATGTTCCCAAATGTTCTTTTTTAATTCATATTACATCTCTATCTTCATTTTAACCGAAATTGGGCCATGCTCGACCGTCACGGTTTACACCACTATTCGTTTGTTTGATAGATATTGACATCTGCTAGCTAATTTGATCTTGCTTATGATGTTAATATTCATAAGAACTTTTGTCCTACTTGACAATCATTATTTGGGTAAAATGGAGTTCTGAATAGCGATTTTTTTTTTGAGAATGTGTGATTAAAATATAGGAAAACATTTTGTTTTTTCGTGCAGAATATTTTATTGTATGAATGTATGGTTGAAAATGAGTAGGTAGGAAAAAAAAGTATTGAAATAATGATTTTCAAACAGGGACATAATTATGTCACCCAATTATGAGTGAAAATAGTGCTTTAGATTAAAAGCGGACACGCCTTGTACTTTTCCCTCTTCACTTTAAGAAAGCAATGTTAAAAATAATAATAATAAAATATGAACAATTTTTTTTTTTTTTTTAAATCCTAGCCCCCCACCCCCCCTTCCTCCCTGTCTCCCAAAAATACTGATCAGAACAATGATGATATATATATTGAAATAAAAAGTCTAGGTTTTCTTGTGTCGCTGCAAATGGTAAAGACAAAGCTATGACTACGCATAGTAGATGATCACCAAGATTTTGTGATTGTGCTATCAAACAAGATGGAAAAAAGTGCAACTTTTCAGTGAAGAAGTTCGCACGATGACCATTGTAGCGTTTTAGAGCATGAGATGCGTCTCTTCTTATATCACTCGTTCATTAGCATTTGACATAGGCCTTAACAATTTATTGAACAACGATCTTGAAATCCACCAATTATAGAAGTTTCAAGCCGAATGCAATGCTTCTTTTTTCTTTTTCTTTTATCAATTTCACCCAAGATAATTAGTGCAATGGCTTAAGGAAAAGAAACATTTTTTAGTGGAGGATATGCACGAGTATATGATATTATGATTATAACTGAATCGTGACATTTCCATCTTTAGTTTCCAAGCTACAAACCAAAGATCCCAACCACTATCTTTACTATGAATATAATGACCCATATTCAGTGATCATGTTCGATACACAGTATTAAATAGAATAGATATATCTAGTTCCGTCTCCTTCAACTGACCAAACATGCCAATATAACTACCAATGTCCATGAAACTTTCCAAATTCTTCTAAGATCAAACACCATGTTCATGATAATATAAACCGGGAGAGTAAAACGGGAGGCGAGGCTCGTTTTCGTACTCTTGGTGACCTTGGCGCATAACCGTTGCACCTCTCTAGTGTGCTCATGCTTTGTATAGCAGCAAGGAATTCTGACAGCAAAGAGGACAAATCTAACACGAGTAGAAGCAACAACGTTAGCCGACAACACTCTTCTGCAGACAAGAAAAATAGGGTCAATGAAAGATCATCTAATATTGCATCAAATGGGCTTCATCAAATTGAACATTCTGTTCCTCTCAAGAGTAATCTTACGAAAGCTGCTTCAACTACAGGAACTAGAAAAGTTAGTTGGTCTGATGCACATGGCAAAGATATTGCTGATGTTCAAGAATTCGAATCGAGGTATGTTCTCTTATTTTTGATTACCGAAGAGTTCCCATTGAAATAGGATCCACAAAAAGAAAAGCACTAGACATTCGTTGGTTATTAGCGGCACCCTAAAATGTTCGGGTTTGGGGGGAGTTAGTATCTATAGTCGGCCTCTATTGTACAATATTTATCTCCATTTCTTCTACATGATTTACCAACTCATTAATTAATGAGTTGGTAACTCATGTAAAAGTAATGGAGATAATATTTTATGAAGTTTAAAAATTATTTGTCCTTCTGGTTCTATGCAATGCCAGCAGATCGGACCATTGACACCTCTAGATTGTGAGAATATTCGAATGGCATTAAAACCCTATTGAGAAAAATATCAGAGATACCATCAAGCATGATATTATCAAATGCCAGAGAGAAATGAGATACCCGCTTATGTTTAAAAATTACACTAATATTATACCATATTTCGAATTTTGTGTACCACATGTACCCCCTATCACTTCTTGAACCATATATCATCTAAGAGAAGGGTGTCATACTCAAAATGTACCTTGTGAAAATGGAATTTTTATAATTAGTTATAAATTTATTTGTTCCCTTAGAAAAGAAATGCATGCTTTGTGCATATACAATTTTGAATATGCATGGTAGTGGAAACTTAAACCTAATATTTATTGAAAAAATTGATAATAAATTATTTCAAGTTTTTTAATTAATTATATACATTATGTACCCATAATTTAAATATTGACAAATGCAAACTTATCAATAAAAATTCATATTTATAAAACAAGATGTTAACTATAAACATTTACATTTTACAATTCAAATAAAATTTAGTTAAAAACCAGTACATGTTTATTCATTAAAACACTCTACCCCTTGAAAATTTATTATTAAACGATTACGATGTTATATAATAAAGTGTTATGTTAATATGATATATTAATTACTACAATATTTCAAAATAATATCATAAAATATCTCTTTTGGTCATTTCATATTTAATTGTATCACAAATGCTTCTCTTTAATTAATTTTCATCTTTACAAAGGCATTTTATGTATATCATCCTCATTTTAGATGATATATGGTTCATGAAGTATGTGATACTCAAAACTAGAAATAAGGGAGGTTAGCGTGCTTTTTCAAATGTAGAGAGCATCTTTAATATTGTCATGAATCTCCGGAAATGTATCTGATATTGTCTCAATTGTATTTATGAAGTTTTAGTAAATACAAAAGATATAATATATATGATATTTTGTTAGTAAAAGTAGAAGAGTTGCATGTCCCTTGTATATGACATTTCGAATAATTTGTTCAACGCTATGAATATCTTATCCAAGTCATTTGAGTACTAATAAAAATTTACTTCCAAGAAAACACAACATTTAGCATGCATAGCATTTTTTTTAAAACATTGTTTGGTTATTTTTACAGTGTTACAGAAGAAGAGGAACTACGAGAAGTACGCAATTCTTTTACGTGTATAATTCAATGACGATTGTGTAATGCCAACCTCATGAATGTTAAATCAGAAGGATACACTTGTGTATTATTCATCAAATATTCATTTATCGAAGTTTTATTTTATCCATTTCAAATAGTAGCAAGTTGTCCATCAGATGATTTCTGTTATCAGGACAATGAAGATTTTATGCCTTCAAATTGGCTACACACTATTGGGTTTTGATGCCCAATAAATTCGGGCGATGATGTTAATCTGATTTATTGGATTATACTTCATAGGCCTAGGCTGATGAGTGAAGTGAAATGTTGACACCACAATCAAACAAATTATTCTTACAACTTCTTCGGGCCATTTGAAGTAACCTAATTGTGTTAGTGTTACTCATGGCCCGACCCTACCCTTTGATGGCTTTAGGGTTGACAGCCGATTTATTGTTACCTACTTAGCCCTTACTTACCTTAACCTATAGCCCACCCTTTTGGCTTATATAAGCTATCCATTACTATTTGTGTTAGTTTAGTGTGAATGTTGTGGGCAACCGTGTGTAGAGAAGAGAAAAGAGTGTTCCTTTGGCTTTGTGCTTACCTTAACTTTGTGCCGTCTTCTTTTCTCCTTCTCTTAGCCTTTGTGGCTGGTATTTTGGGCTACCAATAACATTAATATTCAGCCCTTTGTGGGCACCTTGGAGCAACGGGTTTGGGGGTTTTAGTTTAGGACTTTGTTTGTGATTGTGGTGTCGATTGGAAGTTAACTGAGCTCAATTGGAAGTTAACTAAGCAAGTTGGGGTAGATTTTAGGCCATAAAATTGTCCAGAACCAGCCCAGAAAATGCAGCAGAAATCGACAAAAAGAAGTTGTTCAGATTTTATTCAAAAAGCCAACCTGCAAGCTCCGATTCCGGCCAAACCACTGACCATTTGAAAAATCTAAGACTATCAGCGTGTTCAGCAGGTCGAGGAGCTTCTAGGTGGCAGGCGCGTGGCGGCGCGTTGGCGACGGTGGATGAAGCCCACACGTAGAGGCTGTGAGCAGCGCGTGCAGCATCTTCCGGAGGAGGTCTCTTCAGACAATCTCTTGTTGACATTTTGGTGTTGCTAGTTTTGTGTTTCAGGGTATACAGAGAAATTTGGACGATTTTGCCCCTACGTTCATAATTCAATTTTTGCTCGATTGGTTGTTGCAGTTGTTAGAGACTTTAGGGCTAAGAGTGGTGGCCCTAAAGTAATAAGTTCGCTTTTCTTGTAATTTACGGACTCGGATTGATCCGCTCTAGTAAATTGACTTATCCCATTAAATTTCAGCACTAGAGCATCATCATGTGTGTGACATTAGGACTGGGGTTACCATGAAGGGATAACCATTGCTTGTACTAGAAATTTACGAATTATTTGTCGTATTTGAAGTGTTGAATTTTAACTACAAGTTGATATTTGCTTTTGTGCTGTAACAGTTGCATAGTCACTATTTGAGACTACATTGTGCGGAAATTTGAATTTCTGTTAACATACATTCGTGTTGCATTGGTTTTTCCGTTAGAACACCTAGATTTGACCCGTTCGAACATTCCCTTGATCTAAGATCGTGAATTTTACGAAACCATGAGAATCTAGAAAGATGTATATTGTTACCTTAGGATTACTTTGTGTGACCTATTTGTGCATTGTGGTTCTGTTTTTCAAAATGTCTTCATATTTCGAGATTGGAATTTTCAATGGGAAATGAGACTTTTCAATTTAGCAACAAAAGATGAAGGGGATTTTGGTTCAACAAAAAGTTTCAAAGGTCATAGATGGCAAATTTCTTGCAGATTTAATAGAAGCTCAAAAAGAAGAATGTGACGAACTTGCTTACATTTCAATTATTTTACACCCATCTGACACTATTTTAAGAAAAGTTGAAAAACTTAATTCTACTCAAGAACTTTGGCAAAAGTTGGAAGACTTATATTTGTTTAAGTCTACTCCGAATAAGCTCTACTTGCTAGAAAGGTTTTTTAGCTTTAAAATGGATCTTTCGAAAGATCTTGATGACAATTTGAATGTTTTTAACAAGTTGGTTCAAGACATCATTAATTGTGATGAGAAAATATCAAAAACGTATAAAGCCATCATTTTGCTAAATTCTATGCTTGGTTCAAATAGAGAGGTTAAGAATGCAATTAAGTATGGTAGGGATACTTTAACACCCGAGATTGTCATTGATTTCCTTAGGAGTAAGGAGATGGAGATTAAGGCTGAAAAAGAAGATAAGAGAAGTAGTGAGCTGCATATGATGATGAGTAGGATGAAGTTTAAGTAGATGAGTTTGGGTAGAGCTCAAAACAATAGTGATTCGAGTAGTGACTCGAGTGATGACGATGGTAAGAAGAAGGCAAAAGATGGGAGAAGTCTAGCGGTAAATGGTATTATAGTTGTGGTAAGGCTGGACACTTTATTAGGGACTGTTCTAAAAAGAACAAAGATAAACAGAATAGTAAGTTGAGAGGCAAGATGAATTTGGCATTAGGGTCGAGTGATGACCCTAGTGAGCCCTATTGAGCATTACCCTGGTTACTACATTTGTATCCGTGTGTAATCCTTTCTGCATATGTGTGACTGCTCAATTCCGTTGCATGATTATATGTTGCATTTCAATGTGTTTGATATGTGCATTGGCATGAATTGAAGTTATCTTATTAGTTGGTATAATTGTTTACATGCATAGTGGGTTTGGGATGCATTGGCAGTGTGTATGTATGTCTTTTAATAAAGTGGAGTACAGATGCCTAGGGGTATATTGGTGGCTTGTACCGGGGATATGGAGTGTAACGTTTGGATCACGAGTGGAGATGTGATCAAATATTGGAATCATTTATCTGTGAAGAGACTCTAATAGGGTGGAGTGTGAGAAAGGCACTTCTATCACTTCTGTTAGGTAGAGACCCATTATCTACGTAGGTTGGAAGAAGTGATGTGGTGATAGAGAATTATCCCAGAACTTAGGATGTATAGAGGCTTACCAAGTAGATATGTTTTTTGAGTGATTAATCTAGTGAGCATGGTGGGTGATGAAGTGAGATATGGGTTCTCGATGTGCGAACAACACGTAATGGGATAGGATTAGTGTGGTGAGATCTTTTCATAAGGTCATTTATGCATTTGTTGCATATGAGTTGACCATGTGTTTGATTAACTTGGTGTTAATCTGAAGATGTTTGAAAAGATCTATGTGTTATCCTAAATATGATATCTCTATCGCATATTTATTTGCTCTTGATTGATTATTGTGATTATCTGCTTCTACTTGGGTGTTGTTAATCTTAGCCCTGGTGAGTACATGGAGCAAGTATGTTATGTTTTTCGAGTTCGAAACACGATGTAAGGTCTGTGATACCAATTTTATTTGTCACCTTGATTGTACAAGTATAAACTTTGTGTTTTGGTTGCTTGCAGATTTATTGGGAATCGAGGTGGAGATTTGTTGGGTTTTGATACCTAATAAATCTGGGAGATGATGTTAAATCGGTTTATTGGATTATACTTCATAGGCCTCAACCGATGAGTGAAGTGAAATGTCGACACCACAATCGAACAAATTATTCTTACAACTAC